CAAATCACAAGAAAGTTTACAATTCAAAACCGCAGCTTGAATGTGTACAATCCAATGCGATTGAAGTTGAAATCCTTTTATGTCATCGCATGCCTTTGGAGTGTCGCAGGAGAGCGCTGTAATCCTCTTGCCTGCCTTTCGTCCATCCATCCATCGAATCTGCCGAACTGGGTTCCCACGAGGAGGACCCCGAAAATCCCCAATGCTGCTGCTGTCCACTGCCCACAATGCTATTGCTTCCTGATGATTCTTCGTCCTCCATATCTGCACCACCACCACCTCTCCTAACTGTCACATACTTGTGAAAACTTGGCTCCGTCGAATGATCATTCCCGATTACCTGAGGGTCTCCGGTTTCTTTCATTTTCTGCCCGACAGCACTAATGCTGTAGTTGAGTTGAGGCCAGCAACTGCTTCAAGGATGGAACAAGCCTGGCTAACGCACGCTGGGAGTGACAACTGAGGAGGGTTGCTGTTGTTTTGGTGAAAATTTTGGATGTCTTCGAGCAATAGCGATGCATATGACGATGGAATGGGATTCAACAATGTTTCTGGATTTAAGTCCAAATCCCTCGATCTCCTAGAGGATCTGCTTCTCGTCAAGGATTGAGTTGGCTGCGTCTTGCTATCTTCAACCATTGCTGGCTCTTTTACCATGCCTTTAACATTCGATTTCTGCAGATTCACATTGGCGGGTACCTTGATTCCTCCTTGTCCCTTGTTGGCAGCCGACAGTGGGTATGCAAGTGAGTCGGGATCGATCTCACTCAACGGGTTTCGTCTATAAGGCGAATGTTCTGCTTTCCTCGATGAAGTGCGACTCAGTGCAGGCTGTTGCTGATTCTCGGGTTCAGTCTTTGCGGGGGACTGAGAGCGAGGTGAAGCGGCGGTTCTTGCGGGGGACTCTCCGACATTCCTCTTCACGGATATCCTTTTGACACCATTTGCAGTAGTCGTGGCAGCTTCTACACAGTTGATGCTCTTATCAATCGCCAATGAAGAAACAGTCGGTGGAACCGAGACCATCTTCCCGGGCCTGTTAGTGCCATTGGCAGCATTGGAACCTTGAGTGCCTTCAGTGTTGTCTGATCTTCTTCCCGGAGATCGGCTCACTCGTCTTCCACCACCGCTGCCTTTACTACTACATCTTTCCCTGCTGCCCGAGCATTGCTGCTGCTCTCTTTCTCTGCTCGGAGTCCTCCTCCTTCCTTGATAAGACGACCTGCTCGAAGGCTGGCGGCGTGGGCGGTCACCATAATCAGTGGAGGTAGCAGCGCCGATGTCATTGTCGTTTTCGCGATCGAAATCGAAACTTCGCTTGGATCCTGAGTACTTCCTGGAAGGCGTTTTACACGAGGAGTTGCTTGTGCTAAGTCTCCCGCACTGTATCAAAATGGCCTCTACTTCCTCTTTAGTGCAGCTGGACGTCCCCACGGCAACAGTATTGATGTTGCAGACGCCTTCTTCGGTGGAGACGGACGAAACAGGCTCGTTTTCTGCTGACTGCGATGGATTTTGCGTGGCGGAGGGGAGCGTTTGTCTGTGTCATGGCTCTTTCTGTGTTTTATGATGAATACCTCCTTCTTGACCAAGCTCTTCTCTTGGCTTGCTTTCACAACCTGTTCTTCTTCGGTTAGCTGGTGAATCTTGGGCTCAGCTCCGACTTTCAGGGTGGTCTCCGCCGCTACCGGTGCTATTGCAGAAGAAATAGGAACCGCCTTCGGCTGAGGTTGAGGGTTGTTATGGGAGGAGGAGGAGGCTTTCTTTTTGCTGAAACAGCCACCCATTTGGGAGACCAATAGTAAAGTGAGGAGAACAGGATTAGAGAGAGGGAATAAGCGGGAGGTAGGAATCGGCAATGAACAAGTTCAAATGATTGTGGGTACATTTGTCTTTAAAACGTACAGCTTGTTTAGGGAATTCAAATTTTGAATCCAGGATCCATCCGATAAATCAACGGCACGTTAGACTGGCCGACTGACATACTCCAATTCATTTTATATTGTTTAATATGAGGGTGTTGGTCACTAATTTTTTAGTCAGTTTTTGTTTTACCTACTGATGTTTCAAAAGTAATGAATTGGTCACTACCGTTATCGATTAGTTACAAAATGATCACTTGACGTTAGCAGCAATTAACACTTGTGACGAAAAATATTACTAACGCGTTAACTGCTTACATGGACTGGAGTTGGCTGAGTTGATCGTCACATTGGAGACCTAAAAGCCTGAAGGTCACATCTTCTCCTTAAAAAAACCAAATCCTTAAATTAAACTTGGGGTTTTTCATTCCTATCTGTTTGCCCCAAAATTTTTGTTTGAAAGTTATAAGAGAAATCCCGTGAAGATGGAAGACTATTGATGTACTGCTTCACAATCTCCTGTTTTGTCCAAAATTTACATTCCACCAAAACTTATACTTTCATTCCTATCTTTTTGTCCCAAAATATTTAAGGTCGAATATGTTGATAAACTATAGCCAAATGGTTGATTTTCTCTAAGAAAGCTCTGTCTTTATTATGTTGAAAGTCGGAAGTGAATTATCAAATCTACTAGTGGGAAGACTTTCATTGTTTTTATTTGAAACCAGTATGGTGTTTTAATGAAGTCTTTGACTTCATAGTGGCTCATTCTGGTTGTGGGGAGCTGTAGTTAACATGGGAATCAGCAGATACATGTTTCATTCTTTACTAATTGAGTCCATCTTCTTAACAATCTAATCGATCTTTCGCCCTTGGCATCAGCCAACAGTAATGGGATCGTTAAGCATGATATTCTCGACTTGTGTGATTGTTAACTTCCACGTGGATGATTATAGATATTAAGGCTTTGCTTGGCTTGACATGAAAGATGGATTGAAGCAAGGATGGAAAGTTTGTTATTCAAATTGTTGAGATTTATAATCACTTTCTTACTTTGTAGCTTAACAATTAGATTAACAGAATTTTCATCTTCACTCCTTTCCATCCTTTGTAAAGCCTAAATATTTTCCAAAGATAGTTTTACAGCTAGCACCAACAGATATCATATAATAGATTTGCCTTGGAAATTTTAGTTATAATATTCAGTTGATTGATTTGCAGATCAGCCACTTATGCAAAGAAGAAAGGAGGAGTAGAAAAAGAAGAAAGAGAAGAATAAGAGTCGGTCAAAAGTCCACATAAGCAGTAAACGTTCCAGTTATGTTTTTCCGTCATGCGTGTTAACAGCTGTTAACGTCGGGTGACCATTTTGTAATCAATAGATAATGTTAGTGACCGATTTTTTACTTTTGAAACATTAGTAGGAAAACTAAAGATTAACTCAAACATTAAGGATCATGGTGTAGTTTACTCTTAATATGATTTGGTAAACAAAAATATATTATTCTGGAAAACCGTAAACTAACTTTTCCTTTTTATCAAAAACCACTTTTTCGAGGGATAAAGTAATCTTTTGTCCTTGGTAAAGCGATCTTGTATGATGTGGATTTTTTTATATTTATTGTTATTTAATTTATTAATCGATTAATTGAAATAAAGTATTATATAAATATATTATGATACGATTATTCTAACTTAGTTTTATCCACTTATGATATCATAATTTGAATATCTAACTTTACTTAAAAATTTTAATTTTTTTACCGTTAGATCAACTAATAGTTTGATATGACATTCTTGACCCTCGTAATTGTATTAAATATTGTTACTTCTTTTAATTCTTCATCAATATTGATAATGTCAACAAGGTGATTTTTCTGGTGATAGTCTCTCATCATGTGAGAACCATCGCAAAAAGAACACTTCGATAATTATCACTTTTCCCCCCTCACCGGTTGAATTTTACCTTATCATTCTTATCTGAGGAGCTTCCTTCACCATTACTCGAATGCTTCTTGTCGTCTCCCCACCAATGCCCTTAGTTCGAGGCCTAAAAGATTTAGCCCCAATAGATTTGTCCTTACTAAACTTATCCAAGGCTTTGAAAATCACTTTGACACATTTTCGTTGTAGCTTAATCTTTTCAAAGCCTTTCAAAATCCATAATATGCAAATTATGTTAGGTTCTTTAAAAAATAATTGTAGGGTATGCAAAATTTGGTTAAAATGGAATCGATCGACGAACCAAAATATTTTTATCAATTGATTGGTTACTGAAATTAGTTTGACTAGGAATTCATTTTTTTAAGTTCTAACTATCAATTATTGTAGTTTAAAAGTGATTAATTAATGGAATTAATTATTTAATTAAAATTAATAACATATATTAAAATTTTCCAAATTCGTAATATAGGTGAAAGAAAAATATTTATATATAAAAAATAAGTTTTAAAACTCGTTTAACAAATAATTAGGATAAACTATATCATATAACATCGAACTTTAGACGTTGTATCGTTTATACCATTGAGCTTTCAATTTTGCCAATTATAGCACTGGACTTTGATTTTTGTTTCAATTATACCACTGAACCGTTAAATCGTTAACGGCACGATGATGTGGCTAACGGATGCAGACGTGGCTGACGATTGTCAACGTCGACACCTTGCCAAAACGACGTGGTTTTGATATGACTGTTAACGATTTAACGGCTCAGTGATATAATTGAAATGAAAACTGAAGTTCAGTGCTATGATTGACAAATTGAAAGTTTAGTGGTATGATACATCGCTTAAAATTCAGTAGTATTGGTGTAGTTTACCCCCATAATTATAATATAGTAGTAAATAATTTATTTATAAATTTTATTATATACTAATCTAATTAGATTTTTTCATCAAAATACGATATAATTTATCGTTGCACCAAGATTAATAAGTAAATACTAGTATTTTCTTTTAGTATCTTGTTACTTGTTGCATTGGAAAACCTTTCAATAATTGATTACGTGCAATACTCGATAATAAGGGAGGAACTTACCGTATTTTAGTTTTAGCTTAAAATTTAGTGAAATCTAGCTTATCTCTTAGGATGATGAGTGGCCAAAAGAAATAAATTGCATTAATTAATTTCCCACTGACCTTTTTATTGATCTCAACTCATTAACTAATAACTGATCTCTTTATTGATTTCAACTCAGTGACTGATATCTTTATTGATTCAACTCATTCACTCGTGAATTTATTCTGCTGAGGGCAACTCAGGCAAAAGGCCTTTGGTTATTGCAATCCAAGTTGTTACCATAGCCTACACCCAACAAGTCACAGTACCTCCTGTAGAAACCAATCCTACTTTGCACCCTGCTATCAGGACCACGACCACACTCTAGCCCACCGTTGATTATGTTCGTAATGACTCCATAACCGGGCACCCGGCCAGCTTCGGTATCCGCCCTGGACGGGCTCCATCGCCCGATAATTACGTCATGGCACGACGGTTTGCTTCCCTGCGGGGTCATCCAGAACCATATGGCTGTCTTGAAGGATATAATTGCGTTTGTGGCTACAAGGTCTGGATTATTTATCAGGTCTTCTCTAATAGCCCTTCCAGCTTGCCCATAGTTGTAGTTGCTGAGAAAAAAATTAAGTCGTCAATAATACATAATACAGGGACTTTTAGAAAGAAATTGACCTTAATTGAGTGACGGAGGGACTTACTGAGTCAATTGGATGGGTCCTCGTCCATAATACTGTCTTCCAGGAGGACATGGCCAGTCTCTTGAACTACAATAAGTGGAAGGGTTACGTTCCCTGATAAAGCAATACCCCCATGCATAGGGACCATCGGGTGCAGTTGGCCATCCACCGGTGGTTTCATGAGAGGTTTGACCAAAGAAAGCTGCGAGCTCCCTCTTTCTGGTGGCAACGTCGCCGGTTTTGCCGAATCCATTGAAGGAATTAGCAGCAGAAATGAAAGCTTCGTAAGTATAGAAACCGTTGCTGGAACATCTTCCATCGTTTCGATACTTTAGCATTTGATTAAAAAGGTCTCGAGTGATAATGCTGCCGACACCGCTTCCAGGAGCGGAGCCACCACCACACTGGCTCTGGCAGCCGGTTCCGCAGTACTCAGGGGTGTTGCCGCACCACCCGTGTTGGCTGCAACACAGTCTGTTTGCACATAGAGCACCTCTTGCTTGTCTTCCGCACTGTTGTGCAGTTGCTCCTAGGCCATGCAAGAGTATTTCTACACAACTTAATGTCAAAAGAGCATACAACTTCATTTTTGTATCCATTGATACTATAGTGTGGGTTTTGGATAGAACAAGTAGCGGGTATATATATACACATTATGTAGATATGATTGCAGTGTTTTTCTTTGACTTTTCCATTCAAATATTTCTATTTATTTAAGAGAATATTGTGAAAATAAAAATAAAAATTAGTGTTTGAAGTTGAAAAATATTTAGTGAATTACGTTAAAATTTATAATAACTCTCAAAATGGTCAAAATTATCATTGGCATAGATCAAAGTCGTCGTGTCCCGCGTAAAGTGAAACTTTGTTTGACTTTTCCATTCAAAAGAGGAGGGCGGCTCCCTTCATTTTAGGGGCCTATTACCCTAATTTACGGCTTGAACCATTTAGTTGTTAGGCAAGTGCATTTTACCCGTTAGGCAAGTTCTGTTAGTAGATACATTGGAACCTTGCTTCCGTTTATGCATTCATTAAAGTTAATTTACCACTACGATTGTAAATTGAATTTTGTTCAACTTCAATTTTAAATAATTTGAAATAAAATTTAACAAAAAAAATTGTCCCAAATATTTTACTTTAATAATTAAAATAATGTTTAATAAAAAAATAAGTGTTTAAATTATATACTTTTTAACTTTAGATGTTTAAAGTACTTTTCATTCAAAGTATGAGTCTAACATTTTTGATGTTATTGTTTTAACGACTTTTGGGGTTGGGTTTGACAAGATTTTTTTTTGGAAAAGTTTGTAAAAAGACGAAAGTCGTCTCAAATCATTTTTAAGGCGAGATTGAAACATCTAAAATCGAGTAATTTTAATTAAACATTTTATTTTACTAAAAATATCAATATTTTGGTCTACAAAATAAGAAACCAAATTTGAGAGTCAGTTACGCGTGGAAAAGGATTGACACCCTACAACGTCAAAAAATTGGTACCTAGTCGATTATCCTATCACTACAACAAAACACTAAAAACACTATCGAAGCTAGTAAGAGCGCTATAAGAAGCGTCGCTAAAACGAACACCACAAAAGGTAGCGGCGTTTGTGAACCTAAAACTCCGCAAAAGGTCGAATTATATAGAGGCGTTTGTTCTTTCAAATGTCGCTATATGTTGTGATTTATAGTGACGTTTTTGTTCACAAATGATTATAATTATCCTATCTTTAGTGGCATTTTTGTTCCCAAACGCCGCTAATTATCTTGTCTTTTGCGGCGTTTTGGACACAACGCCGCTAATTATCCCTTTTTAGTGGAGATTTTGCCACAAACGTTGTTAGTTCTATTGTTTTTAGCGGCGTTTGTAATACAAAACGCCACTATATATCATGATTTGTAGTGACTTTTTTTTACCACAAACGCCACTATTTGCAAAAGGTTGGCGTAGACAGATTTGATTGGGTTGCTCTTCATTGATCCTGTAAATTGTTGATCATTACTATCTTAATCCTTAAAATTCCATTATGCTAATATAATATTATTTTACTGATGAGCTTAAACCTTGGGTCTGATGACATTATTTAAAGAGCTGGCAATAGCAGCTGTTATTTTGCAGTAACTAGAAGCAATGGCATCTTTTATTTTGCAGTAACTAGAAGCAATGGCCTAAACAATAAGAACAAATGAGTAACTATTATAAATAATGAGTCATCCCAAAAGAGAGCAGTTTTTTCCCTTTTATAAGCAATGTTTCAACTTTTTTCATCAAATAGTAAACTTATAGAAGAATCAACTTAGATCATTTCATTAAAAATAATAACAAGCGTCGGTGAAAATAAAAAATAAAAAAGAAGAAGTTTTTAACTTGAACCCAGAACGAAACAAATTAACAAAACCTTGCTGTAATTAATAAACACACCATGAAGGGCACTTAAAATATTCCTTTCCATTAAAAATTTCAAAACTTGGAATCATAAACAAACCAGTCATGACAAGCATGAAAAGAAACTAGTATATGGAACACCAAATTTTGCATAATTAATTCCTTGAACAAGCAACTTTTAAAACATTAAAAGAACGGTGAAGAAATACCCGTTATCTTGAGGAGCAAGGAAAAAAGATTGCGCAAATTTTCTCTTCAAGTTATCCTTGCCCGTTAGACATCAGGCTACCAATACAGTTACTCATTCCATGTAAGATTTCTGAGCATCAGCGGTATTAATCTCGGCCTTATGATTTGTGTAATCGACGGAAAAAATCTCCTCATTAATACCTTGTTAAAGAAAAACAATATTGCAATTTATTTGCACTTCAGAGTTCAGATACTGTCTGCAACTATAACATAAGTATATCAATTCATGGACAACAACAGGAGGGCAGCCCCCATTACCCTCAAACACTACCTTAAATATTGGTAAATTTTCTATTTGGCCCCATCCCCGAAATAATTTATTATTAAATCTCGACCATCCTAACACAAAATTCTTGGCTTAATCCCTGTGAAAATTATTAACTTTTGGCTAAATGTTCAAATCCGGACCAAACCTTTTAGGGGCTGCTCATATAAGAGCCAAACCTTTCGAAATGGTCAAATGATGCAGAGGGATCCGAGACAGATGATGCTGAGCTGTTAGATTGCACCTTGATGGCGCTGAGATACCATGAGTTGGCAGATCAACGCAAAGGTGGGAATTGATTGTGATATGTTCCTCATTGGGGCCGTTTTAAAGTGTGCTTCAGTCTTTTGGCCATAACTTTGGCTACGGGTGTCAGAATCGCGCATAAGACCCCAATCCGGAAAGCTTTTTTCGACGCGCACGCTGTCCACATTGAGCTACGTGGCCTTTTTTTGACCTCAAATTCTGCTGTTTTCCCCTCCGAATCACTAGATTTAGATATTTTTTTACTATTTATGGTAATATTTCGATTGTCAATTAGGAAGTCATTTTAAATCCGATTTCGGCCGGATTTTTTGCTGATTGCTTATTTTATTTTGAATTTCAATTTAGAGTGATTTTCGGGATTTTTCTATTTTTGGTAAAATTCTGATAAACAAGATTTTTGGCTATAACAGTCCGGCTTGTGGACTGATTTTGGACGGTTTTTGATTTTATAATATTTTATTAAACTCTAGAGACTTTTTTTCTCTGGTTTTTGGACGAATTTTCTCTTGTGAACCATCTGTTGGAACTAGCCTACAGGATAATCGTTATTCTGTCTGGCGTCATCAAACAAGGGCTAAACCGTTTAGAAGGTGCTCGAATAAATACCAAACCTCTTAAAATGGTGATTAACACACTGTTCTAGTTGGGATTGTGAAATTTTATCAATTAACTGAGATCATTTAGCGAGGTTCTACTATATTACATCACCCTTAACCAGGCAATAGCTAATGAAAGATCATTTACTGATGCAACAAATTATAGGAACTCATAACATGCTATAGATTCAAAATGAACGCTAAAACGAATGGCGGAAAACCTTCGAACCAGCCAAAGAAACAAACATCTAGAGGCAATAACGAGCTTACTTGCATGGTTGTAACTGACGTCATCACACCGTTGGAATCCGGCCGGCTAATCACACTTGAATCATGATAGAATCTCTGAGCCAAATCTGGAGAGTTGTAGAGAATGTGGTAATACTGCTCGACGAAAGCATTTCCAACAACTTGGGCGATCGGAGTAGCCTGTCGTTTCCAATGCCATTTGCAGGAAGAAAAACACCACAGGCATAAAATATCTTCAAGCTCAAATGAAAATGAGCAGCCCCTTAAACTACCAAATCTAGTAGATATTAGTGATGAAATAAAAATACTAAAAACTAACAAATTTTCTAATCAAAACCTATAAAAAGGCTTAATTCACTATTATTTACCTGCATTCTCTAAGAACACGGTGCTATATTCTCATGAAAAATCCCATAATTAAAGGGCATTAAGCCAAGATTAATCAATAAAAATATAAATAAAACAAAGCTAGATCTTTGAAGAAAAGGTAGCACATTCATTCGATCTAACCACCAAGTAGCTAAAAAAACTGAACCCTAATTTTATTTTCAGAAATACCAGTTGTAGAAAGGAAGCAGCTTATAATGAGTTAACCAACATTTTTATTTTATGGGAATCATGAAGGATGTAATGAAAACACAATATAAAAACTCCATAAGTAAAGTACAAGTTTTCATTTTTTTTCATAAAAAAATTGAACTTTACAATGACAGATCAAAGAAAAAGCTATGAACTAACAGAATTGAAAAATTTTGCATCGAACGGTGGCAGTGATACTGGGAACAACGACGAGATCGTGATGGGCGTGGCGGTGAAGGTCACGACGGCGTCAAACGGCTCCAATCAACAACAGATTTGTTGGGTCTTTGCAAACGACGGGGAGTAGAAAATGTTAGGGAAAATAAAAGTGAGATCGGGCTGAAGGGTTAGGAAGATAAAACTTTTAAAATTTGTGGCGTTTTTAAACCCAAACGCCATTAAAGCATTGAACTATTGAGGCGTTTGATATAAAAAATGCCACAAACATACCAAACTATTGCGGCGTTTGTAAAAAAAAAAAAACGCCGCTAAAGTACAACTCTGTCACGACATTTTTGAAAAGCGCCACGACGTTTGTATAAAAAAACTGCTAAAGTACTACTCTGTTGCGGCGTTTGTTTAAAAAAGCCACTATGGATGAACCCTATTGAGGCATTTGTATAAAAACACCACTAAAGTACTACACTGTCACGGTGTTTGTTGAAAAAAAGCCACTATGAATGAACTTATTGCGACATTTGTATAGAATGAACGGCATTTGTATAAAAACGCCACTAAAGTACTACTCTTTCGTGACGTTTTGTAAAAAAATGCCACTAAAGTTACCATTTTGTGGCGTTTGAAATATAAATGCCACTATATGTTTAAAGTTAGTGGTGTTTACTCTCAAAACGTCGTTAAAAAGGCCACTGCAGAACAGTTTTGTTGTAGTATATATTTTAAAATTGCAAATTTCGAGCTCGAAGTTTTATTTAATTTAAAACTCATTATGTATGCAAGTATAAAAAAAGTATCAATTTATTAGGACCAATAAAAAATATCCCCAAGCACAAGCC